TCGGAGGTCGTTGTATGCGAGGAACTTGGACGAGAAATGGAACACTTTAACTGGGCTCTGTTTAGTGTTTTATCGCCGACAGCCATACAAATCCTATACAGTCAATTTGCAAATCTGTTTACTTTAAAACCGAAACGGATAAAACTTAAGTATAAATGCAGATTCATTTCTAACGTTAGGACAGCTTTTTTTTTTCGATTTTCGATCTTTTCTCAGTCATTTCTTTGTGATGAAAATTGCCTTGATATCAGTTCCAAGTGTCTGAAACTGTCACCTCTCTATTTACAAATTATTTTTATTAGATTCGCCAATTATTGGCAGGGTCACCGGAACAGCATGACGCCAATTACTGAGGGCCCGTAACAGTCCCTCCCCCCATAAGAGATAGGCCACCACACCGGGGACTACGTCCCCTACTTTTTACGAACAGTCTGTGGGTTCTTTAACGTCCCACAGAATTTATATATGCAGGGGTTGTGAGACGGGGCCTACGGTTTATCGTCCTTATCTGAGAAGACTAGTAAGTCTAACCGTTTGCAGATGTCTTTACAAAGGCAGCACGTTCTCATCCTCAGTTATTTAAAGACCCTGAGTGTTGGTCCGGCCGGGACTTGAACCAGCGGCCTCCCGCTCGGCAGACCGGCGCTTACTCAACTGAGCTAACCGGGCAGCGGTTACTCACTGCACATGTCAATTTGAAATTTCTGGCGATGCATATTATACTGTTTTTGCCCTTCAGATTTACAGCATTCGTTCATATTTAAAACATCTATAGGAAAATACAGGTCGTGTAAAGTCATATGTATTATGTTTCGAGATAAATCGATTATTGGCATTTTTTCAAGTTCCCATTTCGTGGTGGCTTTAGTTTACATCTACATAAAATGGTATGTATGGCAAGAAACTTTACTCGAGCTGTGAACTTTCAACGGGCTTATCAAAACTCGCTAATGCTGACATCAACCATTGTGCTTGCGGAATGGGCGAACACACAGAATTGAGGAGAAGCACGTTAACAAAATTAATGATATCAACATCATGCACAAAGTTAATGATAAAAGCTTAGCAAGATAGAGATACGAACAAAAGGAAAACCTCTGGGCTACATTGATAAGCTCTACATAGTCCCCAAACCTTGTCAGTAATAGCTGCTATTTCCGTCAAGTTGGTTGTTGTGAAGCTCCTACCTGTGAGGGTGGAGCTTTGAACTTGTATGCGAAATTCTCAAAGTTCATATTTTTGTCAATGTCTTCTTTATCCTTATCCGAAATTTTGACCTCCAAAGTGGAGGTACAAAAAATACTCATGCAAGGAAAAACCGTATGAAACAAGGGGCGCGATCCATTCAACCAAATTTTCTGGAAATTTCGGTCCAAAACTCAATGGATCGGTTCGGTCCAACCGGAAATAAAAGTTTTGAAAAAACTGGTCCATGATCCACCTTTTGAGGTGGACCACTTTTCCCGGTCAGACCAGTCGGAATTTTGGTTCAATGGATCATGCCCAAGGGCTGAGAACATCATTTCTCGGTCCCAGATCTCTTGTCTTCCCTCCCCTGGGTGATCGTTTTTCTGATCAGAAGACCGAAAACGAAATTATAACTGGGCCGCTTGCCCGTGGGCAGCCCAGTAATTAACATGAGTTTTAAAGAAGTTGAACATTGACAAAATAAATGAAAAGTAATAATTGATAGACAGTAAATAAACAAAACAAAAAAGCTCGGATTTAGCATAAGAGCGCATAACATTGTTGTAAGCAAAGGTAAAACATTTTTATTTTATTGGCTAATTGTCGTTGTGCGCATCGGTGGTTCTTTATTATGACGCTTTTGTTATTATTATTATTATTATTATTATTATTATTATTATTATTATTATTATGATTATAAACGTTTTCAGTGCTATTAATTGCTTCCTACACTCTCCTAGAACGGGGGCCAATCCTTGGTCCTGAGGTAAAAGAGCAGTTTTTTATTTGATGGACAGAAACCTTCTCAGTGTCCGCCGTTCCTAGGAGGATGATCTTTTGCAGCTCATTATTGTTACTGGCTCCAGGGAAATTCTGGTCCATTGCCCCTCTAATAAGATCCAGCACACCAACAATAACTGGCACAGTCTCTGTCCTCATTCCCCACATTCTCGTGGTTTCAATCTCAAGATCTTTGTATTTTGAAAGCTTTTCAATGACTTGCATCAAGGTGTTTTGGTCGGTTGGTACCGATACATCCATAAGTTTGCAACACCGGTTGGCATGGTCCTTGATCACTATATTAGGCTCGTTTGCTGACAGTCCTATCCATATGTTTATAGTTAATTAATTATTAATTATGAACTAGTAATTAGATATTAATTTAATTATTAATTAATTCATTATTATCATTATCATTATCATGATTATTATATTATTATTAATTTTTTTTTATTCTCAAGGAAGGATGTTTAGACGCAGAAGAAGCTCTGCTCGAGAAGATGACTGTAATACAGAAACAAAGCGAGCACGCTTGTCGAAAGCCCCGATGTACTCGCAGCAAAGAGAAGCATTTACCAGAGGAGATCACGTGGTCGACAGGCAAAAACAATGGGCATCCGTTGGTGCTTGGTTTTGGGCCCCAAAGCAGAAAATGGAGACGTATTTCGGGACCTGTTGACAAAGGCCATCGATTCTCATATTGGATTCCGTCACAGGTACATTACAATTACAAGTAGTATTTGATGGGAAGCACAAAGGTGTGCGGTGATGATTTTTCCTAGTGGATCGAACTTGTGCAGAAGTTACATACACAAGTTACTCAATTTTCTTTTTTGTGGAGACTGTTTTTTGTTTCTGGCCCTGAAAATTGCAGCCATACAATACTCATACAAAGTTAGTTTGTTAGCCTGCCTTGCTGGTGTTGGTAGGGTGAAGGGATAAATTTTGAGGAATAGCTATTTTTTGGTAGTCTTTGTGCCTCTTTTGTAAGCTGAAATAAACTCTTGCACAGTTTTTTTTTTCAACTTCTGTCATGGGCCATGCAGTACGGCTACCGTAAACTTCTGCGCTGGTCTTAAAAATCTTGGTAAGTGGTTTTGGCGGTCTTTTAGTGGCTTTAAACCGGAATGGAAAAAATCCCTTCGAAACAAGCTATGAGAGTGCTAATCAAAATCCAGACATGTTTATTCAGATATGTTTTGCTTTTACTGGTTTAAAATTAAGCTTCAAAACATCATAATAAAATCAAATCATTTCAATGCATTTAAGTGGGGGGGTATATATTGTTTTGTTTACAGGTAGATGAGCCTATAGAGATAAATAATGACAATAATAATTATGATTATGATGATGATGATTATTATTGATTATTATCATTCATTCGAACTATTTCTGCGTTCGTGATTGTCTCAAATTCTCAGGCTAATGATTTTTTATAACTAGCCTCCATTGATCAAATTTGAAAGGCATTTGAGAGATCCGATAAAATGACCTCAATACTACAAGGCATTAACGTTTTTTCACACTTTTTGGGAAGAAGAAATCAGCTGAAGCACTGCCTAAAAACATTGCAAGAACAGCAAAAATGTCACTTTCGAATGACATCTGCTTTTTCGAGAATATCTGCTTGTTTAAACATCCAGTCCCTTAGTTTATAACCTGAATTCGGTGAGAAACTGGAAAATGAAGATGGAAACTTAACATCAATCGACGTAAGAAATTTTTAGCATGCTTTTAAACTAAGAAGTGTTTTGAATGAATAACAAAACAATTATTGTATCTGGCTTGTGCATGATCTGAAGAATTATGCAGATCAAGAAGTTTTTTGTCAAGGCCACGGCCTTTTCGACCTTGTGGATAAAACCTCTTTGTTGTGCATAATTCAATCCTCAGATCTTGCGGAAGGCGAATCTAATAATTTCTATATATTTTTTAAAATAACTATTTCAATCCTATTCATCCTCATCCAATAATTGTCCATTATATTTAACAGTTACTTTCCTTGTGATTCCCCTTATGTCACCGATGAGCTGCGGGAAGCAGGATCCTTCAGCTATACAATGAAGAATCTACAATCTGAAATGGAAAAATTGCAACTGAAATTAAAAAATTCTTTAGTTCAAGATACAAGGTACATGTAAAGAATCAAGGTGTACTATTACTTTGATTCATCCATCCATTAATCATTCATTCCCTTTTTTTCTTCATCAAATCTTAGTAATTCTAATAATATTAATAATAATAATCCTTTTTTTATTTAAATTCTATAACCTGTAAAGTTACAAGAACAAATCAATCGAATCAATCAATCAAATCAAATTAATGCTAATATTAATAATAATAACAACAAAAATACTACTACTACTGCTACTGCTGCTACTGCTACTAATAATAATAACCTGTGCGATACAGGTTATGTCGGCTACACCAGCGAACTGAAGAGCACAAGGGAACTACAGTCGGAAACCACCTGAGACACCTTAGGGATCAGCACAATGTGTCCCCAAATGACTTTGGGCGAAAAAAGGAAAAAAACTAAAATTCCATAGCAAACTTGATTGCCTTATTTTTGAAATGCTTTTTATCAAAGAACTGTATCCAATACTAAACAAACAGCGCGATTCCATCCACGTAAAATTATTTCGGTTTAGATCGGCTTTAATTACCGGTAGCCTTATTATTACTTCATTGTTTTATTTTTTATTATTAAGTTTTTTCCCAATTTTGCAAATATTTTATTACTTATCACTCGCATTTTATTGTTCATGGCATTCTTACCTTTTAAACTATTTGTAACCGTTGGCAATATATTTATGCTAATTTTTGTATTTTTACTTGTTCCTGAAAATGACCTCGGAAAAGTCGAAACGTCGTGATGACTTTTTTTCGTTAATTGTTATCACAAAATAATAATAGTAATGATGATAATAATAATATAACCTGTGGAGAAGCCTTTTTAGATCAAAGGCACCGAATACCCCCCCCTTCACCCCAAAGGAAGAAATAAACCGATATCACTACTACTTAAAAAAAGAAAAAAACAAATAAAAAGAAAAGGGAAAAAATACTTCTTTTTGCCTCAGGGTCACGTTCTTTGGGAGACAGCAATGCCAGCAAACCTTGGCTATATGTCTGCAATGTTGTACAACCAAAACAACTGCGCGTCGGAGGTCTCCACTGTCACCAGTAAATACGAAATGGAAGTGGGCAAAGACCTGTGTGTCATGCTGGGGTATGACAGGGACAGATGTATGGGACATCTCACCGCTGGGGGGTCTGTAGCCAACATTGAAGCAATTTGGGCGGGAAGAAATGTGAAGTACTTTCCATTGGGACTGCAAGAGGCTTTGTTAAAAGACGAAAGACTTTCTGGTGCCAAAGGATATAAGGTAAATTCCTTTGCTTCATTTCTGCTCTACTTTATCAGATTTATTGCAGCACGTTGTACTGGATGGTAGGGATAATATGAAAGGCTGGCTTTGGTGAATTCAAAATTGCACTTTTAAATATGAAATTGAAACATAATTACATTAGGCGAATTGTACTTTGCGGACCGCTTTTCGGCTACTGTTCTGTTATAAAACTTAGAATTTTCCCTAAAACAGCACGCTCTAGCGGATAACGTGGAGGTCACGTGACATCTGACGATAACACTGCTTCTCGCCAAGAGTGTCTTTGCGGTTGCTTCACTTCCCGAGTATGTTGACCGCTAGCGTGAATTTATTCGCATAAAAGTTTACCTTTTTTGAGCTATATTGCATATTACCATTTTTTTTCTTTAGAATTTTGTTCCCCTTGATCAAATCTCAATATGTTTTCGCAGACCGAGATTCTGAGCCATTCTTGGGAAACAAAATTTACTTGTTCCATTTCTAAATTGTATCCGATTAGGTTTTATTCCCTCAGAGAGGAAAGGAAGAACAATTAATCAGTGCTTCCCAGTGGGAACTCCTTAACCTTGATGTCGACACTATCTTAAAAATGCCCTCTGATGTTCAGGCTTTGACCGGCCTCGCACATCATGAATTCATGGAAATAATGTCCAAGTACCTTTACGAGTCCATTGGAACGCAGGAGTTTGTAAGGCGACATATGCTAACACAAAGTCCATGCATTGTTGTTCCAAGCACATTACATATTTCGTTAACGAAAGCAGCCACCATCCTTGGACTTGGTCGAGAGAGCCTTGTTTGTGTAGCAGTTGACGAAAACTCGCGGATGGATCCTACTGGTAATGTTTTATTGTGTTATCTTCGGGTAGCCACAAACAACTCTCTTTTTATCCACACAGTTTTTTCTATCTACATTGTATTGATGTACTTCAATCGTTGCAGCACCCTCGTACCAAGCGTCTTCATTCCCTTGATCAGCGGTCTGGAAAAGCGCTAGTTTTGTCAAGTTCGCATGCGCAGAACGGGACGAAGACTCGAGGTACGAGATTTCCTTGCAGTGGAAGACAGTAGCCTTTGTTTTGGCTTACAAAAATAATAATAGTACAACATTAAATGTAACTGTTATCTATGTGGTGTAAGAGTTATTACTCTCCAACGACTTTATATCAATAAATTGGCAGGTGTTAAAGTACAATAAATCAGAACTGACCAGTGTTGTGTCTTCCACTTGCAGTGCTTTAATCTGTGTTTGGTTTTATTCTAATGTCACTTACTGTCGAATTAATCAGGCACAAAGAACAGCAACTACAACTGCATGCGTACAAAATGTATGTCGGTATGTTTTGCTTTCACGTGTGTGAACAGAATTAAGCTTAATTTCAGTCTGATATTATTTTTGTTGTTTATATATTGAGACTAGAAAAGGTGTTTTAAACTGAAGGTTAATTTTTGTATCAACGTTTAGAATTGAACCGGACTCTAAAAGAAAAATTGGATAAGGAAATTCCAGTCATTAACGTGGTAGCTGTTACAGGAACTACAGAACAAAGCGCTGTGGATCCAGTGACTGCAATTGTCGATTAGAACTAAGGTAGTTATTAGGCCAATAAAAACCAATTCACCATCACTATCACCATTACCATCACCATCACCATCATCATCATCATCATCATCGCTGTTATCTTTATTGTAAACACTATCGGTGAATAATTGTCGGCGAAGTCACACTTTTATCGCTTTTTCGTTTTTCTATACATAGACCCAACACACCTTGTTTCCCTTACTTAAACTAGCAATGCAATTTATAATCTACTAAACGCTCCACTTGTATGTTTTTGACAACTAGGGTCTTAACTTCAGCATTCACGCGGATGCAGCCTGGGGAGGATATTTCTGTGGTATGCTGCGAACGCTGCCGGAGAGCAGTCCTATGCCGACAGCCAAAGAAACAGGATTTGTTCCGGAAATGTACCTGAGTTCCTACGTCCACGAACAGTTATCAGCTCTCCACCATTGTGATACAATCACTGTTGATCCCCACAAATCTGGCTTCTGTCCTTATCCAGGCGGTGCAATCTGTTACAGAGACAGAAGGATTAACTCATTTCTGTCAATCACCACTAAAGTTCTCTACTACCATGGAAAAATGATTCTCGGTGACGTCGGTATCGAGGGATCCAAACCTGGGGCAGCTGCTGTAGGGGTCATGATGGCAAACAGGGTAATCATTCATGACTGTTTTTCCGTACAAACATCACGATTGATTTATCTCAATACATCACGCTGTTTGGTGGAATATTCCAAGCAAATCTCTCTTTTTTTCCCTGAGTTTGGGCTCTTTTTAATGTTGTAGATCTAATTGCTGTCATAACGAAAGAGAAGAGATCCTATCCTGGAAATGAATCTCTCCTGAAAACAGCTGGGGAGAGTTGTCCCAGAATTTTTTTTTCGAAGATTACCTTATTATAGGAAATTAACGCTGCATGAAATTAAGGTATTGGAAGTTAACGCGACTTAAATTAACGCGAATTTAATGGAAAATGACTTTCGAATAAAGAAAATTCACGCGAAAGAGGAGGTAGAATTTCATAAAAAGGAAATTAACGCGATTATCTTGGCCGAAATCAAAGGAGAAGATATTGACATCACTTCTGACAGCGACAACGATGAAGATGAACTCGAAATATTGTAAACCTTCGCCTTAGCTTTTGTGAAAGATGAAAAATAAAAGGTAAATGGAAAGAAAGAAAGCCTGTAGTTAATGTTTTTTAGGTGTCAAGAATGTCTGGACAGGTTCCAAAATTGGGGTTAAAATACTGGTAATTAAGAGCGCGGAAATTAACGCTGCACTTAATTAACGCCGCGGAAATTAACGCTCAACAAAATTAACGTGAATTTTAACAATTCGCGTTAATTTCACGGAGCGTTAATTTCCTATAATAAGGTAGATCAGTTTTAGCCTGCGTCGCAGACGTCATTTAACCTCGGTTAGTAACGTCTGCGAAGCAGCACCCGGTGATCATTGTTCTGGTTCCCCAACGGACTCAACGAATTACTGGAAGTGCGCTTCGAATTTCCTTTTATCGACAGTTGGCAAAATCGATAATGGCTTTATATACACGGTAATTATGGTGCGTACTTAATTCCTGGTACACAGGTGGGGGCGCAGAACAAGGATTTCGCCGCTCTTTTGCTGTCGAAGGGCTTAATTAGAGTTTTGTTTCGTCTGTGGCACAGGCTGGATCACCTAGTCAGATCGGTTCTGGTAAACAAGTAGTCCAGGTTTGGTCAGTGGAGAGATGGGGTGGAAGATTGGGAAGCCTTTTCTATTAATAATGCAAATGGGGAAATGTGGAAGCGGGATCAGGGTAATTGACACGCACGGGAAAGGTTAAGACATTCTTTCAACTCTCCAAGGCCTCAGGGAACGTATATTCATACAGAGCAAAAACATCAAACAAACTGAAAATCCATCGTAAGTCCATTTCTACAAGAGTACTTGCTGTTTGGCGCCCTCAAGTCCTTATAGTTGCAGATATAGACTGAAAAAGAAACTAACAAGCAAAAGGAAACAAAAACAAAGGCTTTTAATAATAGTTCTCCTTATAATTTCGTGTTCTTGACTTCGCAGGTGATCGGTCTTCATAAGAACGGTTACGGTCGTATCCTAGCTGAGTGCATGTTTACCTCAAAGATCCTATACTGTCAGTGGGCAACACTGGCCAAAGAAGACGACATTTTTGTTATCAAAACAACGAAGCCTTTACCCAATTTAAATAACTGGTCAGACGAAGAGCATATCATATTTATAAGGGAACGAATCCTTGGCAAAAGCAACGAAGAACTTGCAAGGGTAAATATTTCAGCTTGTTAGACTGAAAGCTAATTTTCATTGAGTCCGCCGCAATGCACCCAAGTATTAGCGATTCTTTTGCATTTTACTGGGATCCGATTTTCTGCCGAGAAAATCTACGAAAAAATGTCTAAAACTGTTGATGGAGTCCTACTACTAATGCCATGTCAAAATGCCTCGTAAATTTCTTATTCTTTATTTTTACATGTAAAAAAAAATTCGTGACTATGGAAAAAAAGGTCATAAATATTAACGCTGTTTCAAATTTAACTGTCTTTAATTGTAATTCAAGTTACTAGACTAAGAGTTAGGTGACTTTTAGCCGCCAATCGAATTTAAGAATTTTATGACCGAACGATGTGTGGCTAAGAATAATATGATTGGTTGATAATCAAAAAATATGATCGATATTTTTGTTTTATCAAAGCTGATGTCTCGAGCGTTGCAGCCTTTTTTTAGAAGCAAGCACTTTAAAAGTCTCTTTTTAAATTTCTTTTTCGGTGGCAATAATTCATAAAACTATATTTTTGTGATTCAATTCACTAACCACACAGCAACGTATACGTGGTAAGCATTTAGCTTCTCCTGTCTTTTAGGATGATGAGGCTATGCTTTACCTAAAAGAAGTGGGTCCTGACACCTTGATACCGTGTTTCTCTGTAAACCTGAAAGGAAACCAAAGTGTGGAAGTGTGCAATGCAATCAACACAGCGATATTCGAAAGCCTCAGTCATACGTCAGGGGAACATACTTCATTTCGTATTCCAATGCTTGTTACCTCGTCAAGTCTGGTATCCCACGTCCACAGTGTTGCAGCTACAAATTTCAAGAGAAGATTAGGGGTAAGATTTCTTTAAATAAACGACCAGTTAAAATGTGTTAAACGTTAAACCGTAGGTTATCGATTGGAAGTATTCATGTATAAGAATACAGTTGTTGCGATGTAACTAAAATTTATTAGATTTATCTATATCGCTGACTTGAAGTTTCAGTTACTTAGCAACCAATTTTTCCCTTTTAAGTAACTTTTCAACTGATTTATATATATCCCAATCAGATAGGCTTATATATTACCGTCAATTAAGCAATCTCATTGTCTTTTTCTTTTTCAAAAAGGTGCCCTGGGCAAACTCTACGCAATCATCCTAGAACTGGAATAATTTGCCTTTCCCTTTTCTCATTTTCGTTTCTGTATAAAGCAACAGGAGATAGGTTCCCGAAAACAAGGAATTGTAAATAGTCTCGTTTTCCTTCTTTCCTCTGTTTCTTCCTTCTTTTTTCTTTTTTTTTTTCTTTTTTTGTATCCTTTATAATATAACCCGCTAATATTAACCCTTCTGTAGTCATGCTAAGCTATGTGAGTTAAATAAAAGAAGGTCACGTTATATGTCATGAGATTATCGATTGTAAACAATGAATGAATTAGTGTTTAATTTAGTAATGAAAAGTGAACAGTTGATGCTAGTCTAAGCATTTCCAAATTCCACTTCGACCAGGAATAGCGTAGACGTAGAACCACTTTGTGGATGTGCTACCTCCAAATCATTATTATTATTATTATTATTATTATTATTATTATTATTATTATTATTATTATTATTATTATTATTATTATTATTATTATTATTATTATTATTATTACTAGAAGTTCTCATTGAGAAGGGAAGTGCTGCCGTGAGTTGCGATGCAAATAGGACAAAGACAGTATGTAGAACAGTTAAACATATCAATTTTTTTTCTTAAAGTCAATAACATAGAATTATGATGCACTGAGTAAAATACAAAAAATGAACCGATCACAATGACAAATATGCTTACATTCAGATACTGACTCGCCAGAGTTTCAACATGATTTTGTAATTCATTTTAACAACAGCAGTGCTGATAGACTGTTTCCTCATCGAACAATCATCGTGTACATGACGAGAAGAGTTGCGAACAAATAACGTAAAGACTAAAGGCCAAAACTTGTTTATTCACAGGTCAGGTAGACGTACAGTACACGCCGATCACAACTTACAATCCTGATTTCCGAGATAACAATCTGTGCGACAAAAAATACTCGCTATAACTAATCTTGAAACCTAGCTTTAAAAAAAAAAAACGAAAAAATGTCCCGTACAATAGTTCTTGAACTGTTCTTACCGTTTAGGCTGTTTAAAAAGACAGCAAACATCCGATGTACTACAACTTCTGCACAGATCTTAAACTCACATGAGAACAAAACAAAATGGCGGGTTGCTCAGAAGAGAAAAACAGGCGCGGCAGCTAAGCACTTGCTTATTGGTCACCTTGCTGATTGAACCATGGAATCATTGAACCATCGAACCATCGAACCGTCGAACCAAAAAATCTCAAATCGCTCAAGGATATGGGTGCTGCCGGCTGATGCCCGGCAGCAATTATTATTATTATTATTATTATTATTATTATTATTATTATTATTATTATTATTATTATTATTATTATTATTATTATTCGAAACTATTATATATTCACCATCATGTGCTACTACTATGCGCTTAATATGTGGTATCATTTAAATGGCTGGATGTCCTTTTAATTGCTCACCCGCTTGCCACCATCTATTTAATTTCCTTTTTGCTACTCTTTGATTTAGCTCAACTCAAACAGCGATGCGGCAGTCAAATACATCAAAACAACTTGTATGGATCCCTGGGCCACATCAATAGAGTTCATGAACCACATGGCTTCAATTATGAGGAACAGTATTTTGTGCGCCATTGGAAGGGTAAGAGTCCAACTGCATGAACCATGACGATTACTTATAACGGTTAAGGCTCTTGCTAAAGGGGAAATGTCAGCACGATATTGTTTTTTATGATCCAAAAATGCTCCTGTAGAAACGTGAAGAAGATATCACACAAATTTCATAAGGGAGATGCCGACTAACCATAATAGCTTTGTGGGTGGTTTCTGCAGGCATAGCATTAAAACTTGAAAAAGCAAGGCCAACTTTTTTAAGTTTCAATCCATCTCCATTCTTGCCCTCCGTGGCAGCAAACGACAGGAAATAGTTTCAATGCCTAAAGAGAATGAGTATAATAGGGAAAAATAAAAAATAATAGGGAATAGCGTGTCATAGATCCCTTTAAGCCATTCTACCATTCATCACAACAATTCGGAAAGGTTTCGTCATTTTCAGAGGCTACCATTTTTAACATCGCCTTTAATCAGTCCGGAATATCCCTAAATTTAAGGACAGGGCCAACTGGTCACGCGCCACTTTTTAACCAATGAGATGGCGCGCTTGTGTTTATCAACAAACAAATCAAAACATCGCCCCAGTCATCAAAAAGTTTCAAAACAACGGACGGAGTCGGACAGAATTAAAGATGAGCTTACAGTACTCGTCTAGGTTTCACATTTAATATTTCAAAGAAAACATGTCATGTAAGAGAATAAGAGCATTAAACATTGGAAGGAATCATTGGGGTGTTCGAACTGATTCCGGACCGATCGCAGAGGTCGTGGCTTCACTGGCATCGCTTGCAAGATTTTTGATAGAAGCAAACTCGTCCCGTGTAAAAATAGACTTTTGAAAGAGTGTGAAATTTGTTGAGATCGTACAAAACAGCATTGGTACTACCTATTAACTTCCACAGGACAAGAATCAAAGAACCAGTCATCATAGCAAGAATAGAAAGTAGTTCAAATTTATTAATTTTCCTTGTTTGTTTTTTTGTGTAGTTGTTTCGTGTTGACTTCACGCATCTGGTGCTTTCTTTGCTTGCTGTAGTACCTGCAATGTTTTAATTTTATCCCAGATAATCAGTGCATGTTCAATGAGTAGCGAAATACAGCATTTACAATTGAGATTTGCCTTGTTTCTTTGATTGTTTTTTAACGGCGGATGAACATTTGGAGAATCCAACAACATTAAATCTTTCCAGATTAGTGAATTTCAGAAACAAAGCGGTTAGTATCTACCTCGCGCTTATGATGTTCAATTTCATCCCCGCAAATTCGGCAAAGTGAGGCGAGATGTTGGACGTGAATATCCATAAGACTAATAAAGTTGTTTTGGCCTTGAAAAGAAAAAAGGCAAGGGCTCGTACTAATGCGAAAAAAAGTAATAAGACGGCTTTTGTGAGAAACCCGGGAGTGGAAAACGTACATGTTTTGGACCTCGGAATTCAAAAATTGTCTACTAGAAATCTAGGTTGTCTACCATCCCCACATTCAACATGATAAAAGTTAATCGATATGACAATCAAGGAAAAATATCTAGAAATTCGTAAAACATCTGTGAATCGAAAAAATAATAGATACTTGTTCACCTACCTTGAAAGCCGACCAAAATCTCTCCTATACATCGCGTTGTTTAAAAGATAAAAGAAGAATAAGCCACAAAATGTGCTGAATATTTCACGAGACATTTCCAATATGGCTTCCGATACGCTGTCCACTTAAAAAAATTTTGTATGCCTCATGAAAAGTCTTAAAAATATGCCTGAGCGTTGTTTTGAAAATTTTTGATCACTGGGGCAATGTTTTGATTTGTTTGTTGATAAACACAAGCGCGCCTTCTCATTGGTTGAAAAGTGTCGCGTGACCAGTTGGCCCTGTCCTTAAATTTAGGGATATTCCGGACTGTTAATTCCTGATCAGTTGAATATCGCTTTATTCACGAGAATAGTAAGCATGTAGAGGTGATTATACACAAGCAAAGCTGCCTAACTTGTCTAATATGTACATATAAATTATGTATAATATGCATGGTGATTTAAAACAGTTCAGCAGTTTATAAAACTGCAGTATAGTCCTCATAAACTGGAGAATGAAAAAATATTTTGAGATGCACGCGTCTTCTATTAGCTTTAAGATATAGTGACAAGTTAAGTAGGCAGCTTGACTGCTGCAACTATGTGATTTCTATGTTCAACTTTGATTTCTATTTTAGGTTACTGATCCTACTGCACTCCACAACTTTGTTAGCACAGGAGTTGTCAATGAACAGAACGAAGTGATCGCCTGTTATGTAGGAGTTTTTAACGGAGTTTCGAAGCAGTACGAAGCAATTGTCAAGTTAAAATTCGTTTGTAACAAAGACGCCGATAAGTACATCGCCACCCAAAAGAAGCTGTCAAAGTGGAATGATGTTCTTCAACCGATTGTCTTCCGAAGTAGACAGCAAAGACTTCATGATGTCTTCTTCAAGGATACAGGGTACTCTGGTGAATTGGAAGAGTTTGACTGTTTCATTGGCTTGCCTTCTGACAACAGCAACCATCCATTTAAGTGCCCAAACATGAAAATCACCGACGTTCCTCGTTACGAGCATTTTGACAACCACAAATTCCCTGAGCACAGTTCCTACTTTATGTACGGTGACAGGAAAAACGTCTTTTTGTTTCACATCCCTACGAAGAGCCCCGAGTTTTTTCAGGTAATGGTGCCCGACCAAGGAACTCACACCAACTCATTATCATTCAGTCATTTTCATTATTATTATCATTATCCTCTTCATCATCATCACATGATTATCATCATCATCATCATCATCATCATCATCATCATCATCATCATCATCATCATCATTATAAGATTCCGTGAATAAAAGATCGGACATGCAGACAATAAAAATTCCTTGTTTCCCCCTTTTATTTCGTGTGCTACAGGTAGTGCAGCTTGATGGTTTTTCAGACAGTGTAGGAATTGAAGGCGAGGATGAACTTTTACTCAAGCATGGGATTGAAGTCGAAATTCCCAACATTCCTGGTGAGCCTGTGATTCTTAACGGAGAAATTCAGGAACCCTTGGACAAAAATGAATTCAACATATCATTCGTCGGAATTAACGGTAAAGAAGTCAAGACCAAGGTGAAATTAGGAAAAAAGATTTGGTTTGCGTCATCCACAAGAACATTTTCCAATCTTATCTCAGTCACTGATAGAAAAAGTGTGCTTCGTTCAGAGAATTTAGCAAGACATCTAGTTCAGCTAAATTTAAGTTAAAACACGTACACTCATTGGCGGAGGATTACGAACTTGTTTGAAGCTTAGATTTAAAATCCAAATGTCAAAAAATGTCAGACTCAGTAGTTTCAATACGCATAGTTTTCTTAGACTTTCAATGAACTGTTAACGACAGTGGCCTCGGAAAAGGTGTTTCAGAAAATGGTCCCTTATGGTATTTAAGGTGACTCGACCCAGTTTTTTTTAGGGGGTACCATCCTACTTTGAAGCTCTGTGGTATCCCCACCTTTACTTTTATCGTAAGTATAACACATAGAATGGATAACATATAGATCAATCTACAATATAACATAAAATTTTTGGCGATAGGAGTAAATGTCACGTGGTTATAACGCCACGCCCCTTTGAGGTCTGAGTCCAAAATCTGCTGTTGCCGGCATTTTTTCGTGAAAATCTCTCGGCTACACATAGTGCACATTAGTGCCTTGCGCTAAACAGAGTTTCACCAAAATCGCAAAGACTCAATTCGAGAAATTCAGCGGTTTCCAAATTTAGGTCATAATTTATGCGAAAATGATAAGCAAACTTTACACGGATTATATCTAATAAACTATGAGATTCATCTCTGTATTTTGGGCATCCTTATAACAGATGGGTCCTTGCAAGTCAGCAAAACGCTTTAGGGCCTTGTAAATGCGCGCGATTTCGAGCAAAGCAAACATATAGAAATTATAGTTTTCGCTATTTGACGTTTGTCGGCGTTTAAGAGTCAGTCTCACGAAAAAAGCATTTTCTTAAAAATTCGTAGTTTTTTTTCCTTCAAATTTTTTCAGGGCCACAATTGATTAACTGACTACTCGGACTCTGAATTTCATGGTCATTGAAAAAATGTGGCATTATCTTCTATAAGCTCAAACTTGAGTAAACATTGAAGATTTTTAGCGTTTTGGCTGAGTTTGTGCTTTGGGAGTTGTCTATTGTTTCTAGTCTGTCATTATACAGCATTTTTGTTCAGCACGCGTGCAATGACCGCGCTTGGCTGACTTCCGAATGCTCACCGAGATATTATAAATTTGGTACAGTGAGACAGGCCATCGCGTGATACATAGAGGTTTAACTAACAATTTTTGATCAATTCTCGTGCTTCTTGTGTCTTTGCAAAAAAATCAAGAAGTGCTACACACTGAGTCTACTTACTATTACAAAAATATCATTTTTTCATAGGTTTAATGCAAGCCGATAATTAAACCAACTCGTGACGGGAATATCTCGGTGAGCATTCGGAAGTCAGCCAAGCGCGGTCATTGCACGTGTGCTGAACAAGAATGCTGTATAATGACAGACTAGAAACAATAGACAATTCCCAAAGCACAAGCTCAGCCAAAACGCTAAAAATCTTCAATGTTTACTCAAGTTTGAGCTTATAAAGGATAATGTCACAGTTTTTCAATGACCATGAAATTCAGCGTCCGAGTAGTTAGTTAATCAATTGTGGCCCTGAAAAAATTTGAAGGAAAAAAAACTACGAATTTTTAAGAAAATGCTTTTTTCGTGAGAAGGACTCTCAAACGCTGACAAACGTCGACAAATAGCGAAAACTATAATTTCTAAATGCTTGCTTTGCTCAAAATCGCGCGCATTTACAAGGCCCTAAAGCGTTTTGCTGACTTGCAAGGACCCATCTGTTATAACGATGCCCAAAATAAAGGGATGAATCTCTTGGTTTATTAGATATAATCCGTGTAAAGTTTGCTATCATTTTCGCATAAATTATGACCTAAATTTGGAAACCGCTGAATTTCTCGAATTAGGTCTTTGCGATTTTGGTGAAACTCTGTTCAGCGCAAGGCACTAATGCGCACTATGTGTAGCCGAGAGATTTTCACAAAAAAATGCCGGCAACAGCCGATTTTTCACTCAGACCCCAAAGGGGCGTGGCATTATAACCACGTGACATTTACTCCGATCGCCAAAAATTTTATGTTATATTGTAGATTGATCTATATGTTATCCATTCTATGTGTTATACTTACGATAAAAGTAAAGGTGGGGATACCAGAGAGCTTCAAAGTAGGATGGTACCCCCCCAAAAAAACTGGGTCGAGTCACCTTAAGTAATTACAGCGCACTGCAGTTTCTCAGACTGTGAAAGAAAAACAAAAACAGAAACAAACAAACAGATAGTTAAGGTAAAAGTGTTTTTTTGCTTCGTGTTTGTTCTGTTTCGCCATTTTTCTTTTTTTTGGAATTTATGCTGTTGAAAGCACAATTTCTTTTGTTATTTTATAAATGGGCTCCGGGCCCTTTTAAGAACATACACAACACATTTATTGTCATGACAATTATCAAAATATATTTAAGCCTTGCTGCGCGGGTGCCATGACGGCTAAGGATATGTGACAACAGTGTGACAGCTATTTAAATTATTATTTTTTAATAACATTTCACCCGAGCTATTTAATTTGGATCTGGAATACCTAAATGAATAAATGTGAATTCGCTATTTATCATTCTTATATTTAAAATAAAGTATAAGAGAACCGGCATTTGCTATAGCAAAGGTGTCTATCTCTTTTAAGAAAACCATCTCATGCATTAAATTAAGTACTTAAAACTAATGAAAAACCATTTTGGAACGTCAAAATTTAATTTTTTATATATCTAATTTTAAGTTTGTACCTAAAATTGTTTTTAAATAGTTTTATGGGTCTTGCAGGAAACTTGAAAAAAGAGACATCGCTAAGTCAACTTTTTGTGTCCGAGTGAAACGTGCCACATGATAACCTTAGAGAAAATTGTCTCTTTTTTTTATTTCTGAAAGACGGCCTTCGGTAGACTACGAGTAGTCCCCCATTTTTCCTCAGGGACAGTAGAGCGAGCGAGAAAAGGGAACATGCGGCGGGGAGAGAGAAAAATGAGGGACTACAGACAAAGCAAAAGCCCAAGCTTTTGAACTTATGCGCTGCTCTCACAACGCAAAACTCTGATTGGCTCTTCCATGGAAATCTGTCAGCATCTGTCAAAAACGCACCAGCCGCCATCAACACTTGACATAAACACAATTTACAGAACAAATAACTAGAGCAGAACAAATAACTAGTATAGAGTTGCTCTTGTAAAAGCAATTAAGAAGAAAGCCAATCCGGCAACTGATGAGGTTGGTCATGGTCTTGCCTGATTACAAAGTTGCAATAACAGAACAGTCGTAAGGCTGTTAAGCTTATTCAAACGTTATCACCAAGGGAGGAACTACTCGCTCCAGTCCAAAGACTCACATTATCTCAAAAAAAAACAAGCGGCAGTTAAAATTCATGAGCAGTCATGACTGAAGCATATCGCACTTCTCCATAGTTGATGTAGTTTTAGTTTAAGCTGCAATCCATTCTTCGAGATTTGAACAGCATTTGAGACTTTGATTAGAGTTTCAAGTCAATAAGATATGCAAAGTCAAGGAGTTTTGAATTGTTTTCTTTGAATCCATAAGTTACACTTAAGGGTCAGATAGCTGAAGTTTAATTCGGTGTGATTACCCAGGATGCAACTCGTCTGTTCTTGTGTTTTAATGTCCATCAAGACTTACACCTTTTCTTTGACAAACCTACTGCTGCAGAGTGACCATGAGTAGCGGGCAATTCAAAGAAGTCTATAACTAACTCGACTTGACCTTTTAGCCAAAGTGCCTCTCGCTTTTAGCATGAATGCACTGAGCTCTTAGTCTCGGCAATTAAAGATAATCAGGATGACTTCCGGAAGGCCCTAAACAATTATAGAGCTTTTTCACCACGTGGCCAGCAACTATACAAATTTATTGTTACAAACGTGGAAAGGTTTTTCATATCAAAAGGTTGATCTCCCACGGGACTAGTTTGGGACACCAACGTTAACGTGGCCGCCGTTTCATTTGTTTTGGGACACCAATATGGCAGACGTGATTTCTTGTGATATCCGGGATAATTAAGGCCAGGCTTTGATATTTCCGGAAATCACGAAAAAAGCTCAATCATTCATTATGGTTAAGAAACAATTGAAACTTACGGAAAATAAGATTTGCCTCCAACTCTAATTACAAAATTGTTTTCAGCCTTGATTACAAAACTTGCTATTTGTACGGTAGACTTTTAACCTTTTCTTTCATCATTCCTGTTCACTAAAGATTAGTCTGAGTAAACTAATAATTCGGTTTAATTTGCAGTTAGAGAAGTAAAGCAAAAACAACAACAAAACAGACGTTCTGGTAAGCTTTTCGAGCCACTTTTGGGTCTCTCTACAAGAAGGCACACCTGCAATGGCAGCCATTGCGTGTTACGAGTTGCTAAAGTCACGTGATGCACATTTCTTCTGATGGTAACACGCAAACATTTTCTCACCCAGAAAAATTAGAATAGTTGTAGTTGTTTTCTTTCTTTCTTTCTTTCTTCTTTCTTTCTTTCTTTCTTTCTTTCTTTCTTTCTTTCTTTCTTTCTTTCTTCTTTCTTTCTTTCTTCTTTTTCTTTCTTTCTTTCTTCCTTCCTTCCATACCAGTCTAAATAATTCTATTTTTGGAAACCTGAGCATGCTTTCTGCTAAAGTACACGCGTAGGAAATTTATACCCTGAAATGAGTTTACCTGATCAATGTTTTTCATTCTTTAGACTCATTTCAAAAGGTTTTATTGAAGGTTTAGTTTTATGTAAACTGCGCAATATCAGAAATATACTTTAAACAGCTCAATAAGAATATGTAAATTGTGCAAACTGTCCAATATCATGTTGTTACTGCGCAATATCTTGACAAACGATTTGTTTGAGCGGCGTTTGATCTAAAAGATAAACGTATCATGACTACGCATATCCATTAAACCCAAGTGCACGTCAACGATAATTAACTTTGTGCAACAGTGAGTACGCAACTTTTCTAAAATTCTAAATTTCGCAAAATCTTTGAATAACTTAAAAAAAGCCGTGGCGAGTTGC